AGACTTGATTTTTTATATATTAAAAAGCAGTACTTGTCTTTACCTTCCTCCCATGTGCTTATGGTGCATCGCCATCCCTTGTACCACCGTGTTTCACTGTCGCATCGCATGTGCTACTCTGCTTCACCTTCCCATGTACTGTATACCTCGGCATACCATCTTGTATGCTGTGCTGTGCAATGCAACGTTTCACCTGCTGCGCATCACCGTCGCAACTGGGTCAGTCTCAACACCATTTCATCATAAGTGGGTGAGTGAGTGTCATCGCAACAGGGTATCTTTTGCTTGTAAATGCTGCTCCCTCCCAACCTCTAAGTGAGTGTCACAAAATTTCACTTTACTGTGGTGGAATGAGATGTTGTGCGGATCAGAGCGGCTCGTTGCTCTTGGGTAGAATTTCAAGAGAATACGACACAGCCTAAATCTACGTAGCAGCGTTCACTTAGAAGAAGGGGGTTACGACACAGCAAATACCGTACCCCCCTCTCCTGCGTGTCACTTCACCTGACCGAGGCCCCTTGGGGGGCTACACTGGGGCTGCTGCTGATAGATCAGGCAAACGCTCTGCTGCTCGGGGGAGAGCCCTGTTTGCCATGAGCCCTGTTTGCCACGAGCCCTGTTTGCCATGAGCCCTGTTTGCCATGAGCCCTGTTTGCCATGAGCCCTGTTTGCCATGAGCCCTGTTTGCCATGAGCCCTGTTTGCCATGAGCCCTGTTTGCCATGAGCCCTGTTTGCCATGAGCCCTGTTTGCCATGAGCCCTATTTGCCATGAGCCCTGTTTGCCATGAGCCCTGTTTGCCATGCCTCTTGCCTCCTTAGGCAGTGCTCACACTGCTACTCGCCAATCTGTTGGTCCAACCTGATGGGTGTGTGTCACCACGGGTGGGTGTCTTGTGCTCATAGTAGTTCTGCCTTATGCTCATACCGTAGTGCTGCCTTGTGCTGCCTCAAGAGTAGGAGAGGGAAGTGACACGTGTCAAGCTGGCATGAAGCCATTGGCACCTATAACAAGTTCCTTCGAATGCCATCACAACACAACGCGTTTGAGAGTTCTCAAGAGAGAGAGAGCGGGTCTGGGTGAGAGGTTGAGAGAAGCAGAAGAGGAGGCGAGGGAAGTGGCAGGCACGTGTCATGTAAAGCATGGCATCTACCGTATAACAAGCCCCTTCATAAGGCATCATCAACTTGCCTCCAACATCCTTCATAAAAGAGAAACCAACAACAATCTCAACTAGTACCATGCTTGACTTTTGTATTGCTATGTACAAGCGAATGGAATGGAAGCGGCAGAATAACAAATGACTGCCCTGCCCATCTAATCACACTGTGTCGGGTTGGACATGAGAAAACGCAGCACGGAAATCAGCAAGATCTGAAGTCTGTTGGTCAGGAAATTCCCTGCTTGAAATCAAGTCCTCCTGTGTATTGGCTGCACTGCTAGCAGCATGAAGGGCCGGCGGTTTATCCATTGGTGCAGCCGCAGCGTTGCCATCCCCAGCAGCCTCCACAGTAGCGGCAGTAGCGGCAGCATCAGCAGTAATGGCAGCAGCAGCAGCATCAGCAGTAGTGACAGTAGCAGCAGCGTTGCCATCTCCAGCAGCCTTCACAGTAGCGGCGGTAGCGGCAGCATTGACCATAGTGACAGTGGTGACAGCGTCAGCAGTCGCAGCAGCAGTGCCATCACTAACACCATTGTCACCAGCAGTAGCGCCACCAGGACCAGTGGCGCCACGAGCAGCAGCAGCAGCACCACCAGCAGCTGCACCACCAGCAGCTGCACCAGCAGCATCAGCAACACCAGCGAAACCCTCGGCAGTACCAGCTACAGCAGTACCAGCAGCAGTACCAGCAGCAGCACCAGCAGCAGCACCAGCAGCAGCACCAGCAGCAGCACCAGCAGCAGCACCAGCAGCTGCAGGAAGGAGGGCCAGTTTGGCCTGTTTGGATCCTCGCCTTCGAAACGGCTCATGGAAAGCATCGTGCAACCACTTGATCTGGTGAGGACAGGGTGTGGAAATGCAAGCGAAGCCAAGTGAATCTGGAAATTATGGCTATCGAGGCGCTTAAAATAGATCCGCTCATGGAAAGCATCGTGCAACCACTTGATCTGGTGAGGGTGGGAGCAGAAACACAGACTAAGTCAGGTTCATCTGGAGCTCCTGGAGTTTGAGGTGCCTCTTAGATTGGCTCATGGAAAGCATCGTGCAACCACTTGATCTGGTGAGGATGGGGTGTGGAAACAGGGTAATCACAGGGTGTGAATCACCAGCATCAGCACCAACAGCAGCTGCAGCAGAAGCAGGAAAGAGGGCTAATTTTGCCTGTTTGGAGCCACGCCTCCGAAACGGCTCATGGAAAGCATCGTGCAACCACTTGATCTGGTGAGGATGGGGTGTGGAAGCACAAACGGAGGCAAACGAATCTGGCGATTACGCTTTCTGAGCACGCCTCAAAGATCGGGTCATGGAAATCGCGATTTGCACGATCTGTGCAGAGCAGACACCTGATCTGGTGAGGACCGGGAGCAGAAACATAGTTTTGAGGTGTTGCAGGGAGTTTCTGAGAATTCTCAAAAACTCCCTGCAGAAATCTAGTTTTGAGGCGGCTCAATACTGGATTTTCACGATCTGTGCGGACACCTGACCTGGTGTCTGCTCTTCGAAACATGAGTCAGGGTGACCCCTGAGATACCTGACCTGGTGAGGACGGGGAGCAGAAACACGAACGAAGCCCGGTGAATCTGGAAGTTATGGATTTTGCGACGTCGAAAAGACTGGCTCACGGGCGGCGTGCAACCACTTGATCTGGTGGTGATGAGTTGTGATGAGCTGTGGAAACAACTTTTGAGCGCCTCAAAAGACTGGCTCACGGGCGGCGTGCAACCACTTGATCTGGTGGTGATGAGTTGTGGAAACAACTTTTGAGGCGCCTCAAACGACTGGCTCACGGGCGGCGTGCAACCACTTGATCTGGTGGTGATGAGTTGTGATGAGCTGTGGAAACAACTTTTGAGGCGCCTCAAAAGACTGGCTCACGGGCGGCGTGCAACCGCTTGATCTGGTGGTGATGAGTTGTGATGAGTTGTGGAAACAACTTTTGAGGCGCCTCAAACGACTGGCTCACGGGCGGCGTGCAACCACTTGATCTGGTGGTGATGAGTTGTGATGAGCTGTGGAAACAACTTTTGAGGCGCCTCAAAAGACTGGCTCACGGGCGGCGTGCAACCACTTGATCTGGTGGTGATGAGTTGTGATGAGCTGTGGAAACAACTTTTGAGGCGCCTCAAAAGACTGGCTCACGGGCGGCGTGCAACCACTTGAACTGGTGGTGATGAGTTGTGATGAGTTGTGATGAGTTGTGGAAACAACTTTTGAGGCGCCTCACAAGACTGGCTCACGGGCGGTGTGCAACCACTTGATCTGGTGGTGATGAGTTGTGATGAGTTGTGATGAGCTGTGGAAACAACTTTTGAGGCGCCTCAAAAGACTGGCTCACGGGCGGCGTGCAACCACTTGAACTGGTGGTGATGTGATGAGTTGTGATGAGTTGTGGAAACAACTTTTGAGGCGCCTCACAAGACTGGCTCACGGGCGGTGTGCAACCACTTGATCTGGTGGTGATGAGTTGTGATGAGTTGTGATGAGCTGTGGAAACAACTTTTGAGGCGCCTCAAAAGACTGGCTCACGGGCGGCGTGCAACCACTTGAACTGGTGGTGATGAGTTGTGATGAGTTGTGATGAGTTGTGGAAACAACTTTTGAGGCGCCTCACAAGACTGGCTCACGGGCGGTGTGCAACCACTTGATCTGGTGGTGATGAGTTGTGATGAGTTGTGGAAACAACTTTTGAGGCGCCTCAAAAGACTGGCTCACGGGCGGTGTGCAACCACTTGATCTGGTGGTGATGAGTTGTGGAAACAACATGATGATGCATTTTTGAGTTTTTTACACAGAAACTCAGGGTTGACTTTTGAGTCGACTCAAAAGAAACTCAGGGTTGACTTTTGAGTCGACTCAAAAGAAACTCAGGGTTGACTTTTGAGTCGACTCAAAAGAAACTCAGGGTTGACTTTTGAGTCGACTCAAAAGAAACTCAGGGTTGACTTTTGAGTCGACTCAAAAGAAACTCAGGGTTGACTTTTGAGTCGACTCAAAAGAAACTCAGGGTTGACTTTTGAGTCGACTCAAAAGAAACTCAGGGTTGACTTTTGAGTCGACTCAAAAGAAACTCAGGGTTTCGGGTTTAAGGTTTAGGGCGAGCGGAAACACAGGCGAAGGCAATTGAGAGGTCGTGCAGAGCAATCAGTTAGTTGATCTGGTGGTGTTGGGGAAGGGACAGAACCATAAGCTCTTGAGTCAACTCACAAGCAGGTCGTGCAGAGCAATCAGTCAGTTGATCTGGTGGTGTTGGGGAAGGGACAGAACCATAAGCTCTTGAGTCAACTCACAAGCAGGTCGTGCAGAGCAATCAGTCAGTTGATCTGGTGGTGTTGGGGAAGGGACAGAACCATAAGCTCTTGAGTCAACTCACAAGCAGGTCGTGCAGAGCAATCAGTCAGTTGATCTGGTGGTGTTGGGGAAGGGACAGAACCATAAGCTCTTGAGTCAACTCACAAGCAGGTCGTGCAGAGCAATCAGTCAGTTGGTCTGGTGGTGTTGGGGAAGGGACAGAACCATAAGCTCGTCATCCATGCCACCTTGTGAACTGAGAGTGTTTTTTAGACGTCTCTAAAACACTCTCATTTCACGTGCTGCGAGGCAGAACCATAAGCTCGTCATCCACGCCCCCTTGCTGTTCTTCTGTCTCCTGCCCCATTACCACACACACACTAACCTCTGTACCGCACACCACCACACCAGCACACACCTTTTTCTCTCCTATCCCCGGACACCGTGAGAGCTCGTCCATTGATGCCCCCATTATGTTCTACTGTCTCCTGACCATCAACACACAAATACACCTCTGTACCGCACACCACCAAGTCATACAGCACTGTACCTCACCCACCCACCTTCTTCTCTCCTATCCCTGGGCACCGCGAGAGCTCATCCATCGATGCCCCCATGATGTTGGCCAGAGTCTGGTCAGAATGAGAGCACGAGAAGGAACGAGAAGGCATGATGTAACTGCAGTGTCAAAACTTGTATGATTAAAGCGAGCATGGCAAATTACAGGGCAGAATTTTGCGTGAAAGCCCAAGTCACCAAGGCCTCAAAACTTTTATCTACATAAAAATGCCTCAATGTAGTTACGCAAAAAGAAAACAAATCAGGGCGAAAAAACACAAGGCACCAGACACCAAGTCACCATTTATTAGGTGCCTTAAAAAAAGGGACCAATTCACCATCCCATGTTGTTGGCTAAGGTTTGGCGATAGACAGTACAAGAAAAACACATGGAATGGAAGCACTGAAGATATTAGCGTCCTCGAATGGCGGGCTTCTATCTTGTCACCTCACTCACTCACACATACGCTCACACACACACTCACTCACTCACACACACACTCACTCACACACACACTCACTCACCCCAAAGTTAGTCCCCAAAGTGAGAGCACTCACTCACTCACTCTCTTACGCACATACGCTCACACACTCACACACACTCACTCACACACACACTCACTCACTCACACACTCTCTCACCCCAAAGTTAGTCCCCAGAGTGAGAGCATCGGTTTTGTTGACATGGCGGATGGACGTGAGGGCGCTGGTGAGCTGGAGAGATGGGATGAAATGAGGGAGTGCGAGAATTGTTTGGAGGGAAGGGGAAAGCGAGGGTAAGGGCAACAGTGCGGTTGACATGGCGGATGGACGTGAGGGCACTGATGAGCTGGAGAGGAGGGAGGAGATGGGGGAGAGGGAGGATGGGAGGTAGTGAAGGGGGTTTAGAAAGGAGGGAGAGGGCATGAGATGAGAGCATCGGTGCAGTTGACATGGCGGATGGGCGTGAGGGAGGGCGCTGGTGAGCAGGAGAGCAGGAGGAGAAGGCGGGAGAGGCGGGTGGGAGGAGAAGGGGGGAGAGGCAGGTGGGAGGAGAAGGGGGGAGAGGCGGGTGGGAGAACGGGACAGCAGGGGGAGAAGGAGGGAGAGGAGGGTGGGAGAACGGGGCAGCAGGGGGAGAAGGGGGGAGAGGCGGGTGGGAGAACGGGACAGCAGGGGGAGAAGGGGGAGAGGCGGGTGGGAGAACGGGGCAGCAGGGGGAGAAGTGGGTTGGAAAGGAAGGAGAGAGCCAAGAGAGTGAGAGCTGGACAGAGGGAAGAGGGGAAGGGGCGGTCCGGAGGGTGGGGGAGGGTTGGTGTGAGGAGGGAGAGAGCAGCAGCAGCTTCACTCATGTAGGGTCATCATTACCCAGAGACTCATCAGTACCCGGGAAATAGAATCACTAACCAGTTGTATTCATACTGCCGGGCAGAGGGCAACTTTTGAGACGTGTCAGAAGGCATGACTCAGGGAAATATAGTCACTGCCGTGTATTTTTTTAGAATTCCCGTGTGTTTTTTGAGAATTCTTAAAAAACACACGTGTCAGAAGGCATGACTCAGGGACATATAGTCACTGCCGTCCGATCGTGTCCTTACGAGATCCAGACATAGCTGCGTGCGTGCAGTAGGCTTAAATATAGTCACTGCCGTCCAATCGTGCCCATGCAGGTACGGGCAGGCAGAACAGGGGCAAGAAGCTGCAGCCTCTTCGAAAAACCTCGCATCATCCCTACCCATTTCTTGACTTCAACATGTCTCAGAACAAGTAACCGAGGCCTCTCAGTAAAACCCCCTATCATCACCATTACCTGGGAGATGTAACCGCGGTCTACCTGCTCTTGAAAACTGACAGAGGCAGGCCACGGGGTGACTTTTGAGTCGACTCAAAAGTCACCTAGCTGACAGAGGCAGGCCACGGTAATCTTGATGGTTACCCAGAAAACATTGTCACTGTTCAGTATAGTTACTCGGGAAATATAATCGCTGTCGACTCGCTCTTGAATGCCGTTTGCCGGCTTGTTCTCGTAGCTCTTGAGAGTCTCCAGGTACCGCGCACACTCGTTGGGACTGGAACAGGGAGGAAGGTAGGCAGCAGACGGAAGAAGAAGGGACAGGAGGGGAAGTGTGACAGAAGAGAAGGGCAGGCAATCAGCCGGCTTGTTCTCGTAGCTCTTGAGAGTCTCTAGGTACCAAGCGCTCTCGTTGGGACTGAGGGGTCAGAGCAGTGCAGGAAGGCAGGAAAGGCAGGAAGGCAGGAAAGGCAGGAAGGCAGGAAAGGCAGGAAGGCAGAGGATGGGAGAGAGGAGCAGGCAGGCAGGCAGGAATGCAGGCAGGCAGGCAGGCAGGAAGAGAGGGAAACAGGGCTGCCTAACTAGTGAAGTGAATCTCACCTCCAGGCGCACAGGAGCGCCGTCTTGGTGATGTCAACGTCCACGTGGCACAGCACGATCCGCAGGAGGAAGGCAGGAAGAGAGGGAAACAGGGCTGCCTAACTAGTGAAGTTAATCTCACCTCCAGGCGCACAGGAGCGCCGTCTTGGTGATGTCAACGTCCACGTGGCACAGCACGATCCGCAGGAGGAAGGCAGGAGGAGAGGGAAACAGGGCTGCCTAACTAGTGAAGTTAATCTCACCTCCAGGCGCACAGGAGCGCCGTCTTGGTGATGTCAACGTCCACGTGGCACAGCACGATCCGCAGGAGGAAGGCAGGAGGAGAGGGAAACAGGGCTGCCTAACTAGTGAAGTTAATCTCACCTCCAGGCGCACAGGAGCGCCGTCTTGGTGATGTCAACGTCCACGTGGCACAGCACGATCCGCAGGAGGAAGGCAGGAGGAGAGGGAAACAGGGCTGCCTAACTAGTGAAGTTAATCTCACCTCCAGGCGCACAGGAGCGCCGTCTTGGTGATGTCAACGTCCACGTGGCACAGCACGATCCGCAGGAGGAAGGCAGGAGGAGAGGGAAACAGGGCTGCCTAACTAGTGAAGTTAATCTCACCTCCAGGCGCACAGGAGCGCCGTCTTGGTGATGTCAACGTCCACGTGGCACAGCACGATCCGCAGGAGGAAGGCAGGAGGAGAGGGAAACAGGGCTGCCTAACTAGTGAAGTTAATCTCACCTCCAGGCGCACAGGAGCGCCGTCTTGGTGATGTCAACGTCCACGTGGCACAGCACGATCCGCAGGAGGAAGGCAGGAGGAGAGGGAAACAGGGCTGCCTAACTAGTGAAGTTAATCTCACCTCCAGGCGCACAGGAGCGCCGTCTTGGTGATGTCAACGTCCACGTGGCACAGCACGATCCGCAGGAGGAAGGCAGGAAGAGAGGGAAACAGGGCTGCCTAACTAGTGAAGTGGATCTCACCTCCAGGCGCACAGGAGTGTGCAATCATTCAGAAGAGCCGTCTTGGTGATGTCATGCAGGGGCTTGGTGACGTCATCAACGTCCACGTGGCACAGCACGATTCGCAGGCGGAAGCTCTTCTGCAGCTCCCTAATTGGCCGAAAGGCAGAGGCATAGAAAAGGTCAATATGTCAGAAAACGAAAGCATGAGATATACAAAACCAGGCTCAGATCTGGCTGATTGAAGAGTAAAGATAATCAGGAGGAGGGAGAGTACAATAGTTCGTTATAAACTAGTCCAATACAGGCTTCGACTTACCTAATTCGAAAGTAGAGGTAGTCTGGGTGCAGCAGGTGGTATCGGAGAGAGAGGAAGAGCGCGCAGGAGGAGGGGGAGAGGAGATAGTCTGGCGTGATCTCCCCAAACGCCCACCGCACGTTCCTGATGTGGGTGAGCACAGGGTTGCCCCGCTGCCATGCAGAGTAGACATCAGAGGGGAACGAGCAGAGAGAGAGAGAGAGCTTAGCCACTAGTCGGCAGTGATCTCCCCAAACGCCCACCTCACGTTCCTGATGTGGGTGAGCACAGGGTTGCCCCGCTGCCATGCAGAGTAGACATCAGAGGGGAACGAGCAGAGAGAGAGAGAGAGAGCTTAGCCACTAGTCGGCAGTGATCTCCCCAAACGCCCACCTCACGTTCCTGATGTGAGCGAGCACAGGGTTGCCCCGCTGGAGTACAGGATAGGGCAGAGCAGAGGGGGGAGAGAAAGGAAAAGGTGCCTCTTTTTTAGTCCCAAACACCCACCTCACGTTCCTGATGTGAGCGAGCACAGGGTTGCGCCTCTGCCGTGCAAAGGGAGCATAAGGGGAAAGACCCGAGGGATGTGTTCTTTTAGTCTACTTGCAGAATCCTTGTTTAGTCCCAAACGCCCACCTCACGTTCCTGATGTGAGCGAGCACAGGGTTGCGCCTCTGCGGTACAGGGCACTGCGAATCAGAAAGGAGAAGACTTTTGAGGCGCCTCAAAAGTCGCCTAAATTTTTTTTGAGGCGCCTCAAAACACGAGCACAGGGTTGCCCCTCTGCGGTACAGGGCACTGCGAATCAGAAAGGAGAAGGAAGGGTTCTGTGAGAAGGGGAGGAGTTGGGGAGGGCGAGTGAGACTCAGAGCCACGGTGCCTGCTTTGGGCTGAAGGGAGTTTTTGAGAATTCTCAAAAACTCCCTGCAACGTCAAGGAGGTGGGGAGGGCGAGTGAGACTCAGAGCCACGGTGCCTGCTTTGGGCTGAAAATGATGCAGCTGCGATTAGCAGCCGTGAAAGCGAACGCTGCGGCTGCACTCAAGGTGACTTGTTGAGTCGACTCATAATTGCGGGACCTGTTTTGGGCTGACGATGAGACAGCTGCGGTTCGTGGCGGTGAAAGTCGGTTCTTTTGGACTCAGAATCGCGGTACCTGTTTCTGGCTGACGATGATGCAGCTGCGGTTCGCAGCAGTGAAAGCGAACGCGGCCGCTGCACTCGCCGCCACTTCGCTGGCGGGAATCGCCATGGCGGGCATTCGCTGGTCACCCTATCTCGAGGACGAATCGTCCGGCAATCCCGAGGGAGATTCGCCTAGTGGTCTAAGATGACTCATAGGCTACCAGCAGCTGCATCGCTGGTCGGAGCGCCATGGTGAGCATTCAAGAAAGATTTAGTTGGCCGCGCTAGAAAAAGAATTACTCGCACTCGCCGCTGCTTAGGTGGCGGGAACCCTCTTGAGTGTCCAGTGAAGCGACTTGGAGCGTGAATGACGCTTGATGTGCAAGGTAGATAATATTTTTCTGTGATGGTGCGTGAGTGACCCCTTGTACGCCCTATAGGATGAATGGGGGACTGACGCGACTGTACACTACACGGTTGTTCTGCTGGAAGTGCTTGAAAATTCTCCTCGAGTATAGGACAAAAGACATGCAATCACAGTTCACATATAAGACAAAGATACAGATTAGTTACACTTCCTCGCTAACCGATAGACAATAGACCAGAACATCTGGAGTGAAGTAATGCCTCTCATCTCATTGCGTCAACAAACATGGCAACAGCAAAGCACCTACGCTTTGATATAGTTCTCATCTCATCTCATGTCTATTTACAATTGGTTTGACTTCGATAAATATGGAGCATGCGCCTTGTGCCTCCTCCTGCGGAACAGCGGAAGGGGACATGCGAACAAATACATGCGAGTTGTGGTTCAGTAAATAATGGAGTAGGCTTGAGGAAAAAAACTGGTGATAAGAAAATGGATTGAACTGAGAAACGGTAAGCGTTTCCCAACCTAACTGAGAATAGAAATGAAGAATATGGCTGAAACGAACGTGACTGTAACTTAATGTAGGAACAATCCAAGAGATGGACACCACAGAGGCATGCCACTTCTGACAATGCTCCCAATAAATATCCCCGAAGGCCAACTTGAAGAGGCGATGGCACTGTGGAATAGAGCGACTTTCAAGCACGTGAAGCACTCGAACGAGCTCCAACCCACAGCCCCTCCGGAAGGAAACTAAGGTGACAAAAGAGTCAGGCGAGTTACCAAACTAACCTTGCTTTCGCTAGTCATCTGCGGAATTAGAAGACTTAGCCGAATTGGCTGCAGAACCACCGGCCGCGGCAGCAGCAGCGGCTGCTCTCTTAGCCTTGGCCGCTTCAATTTTTGCGAGTCTCGCCTGGTGAGCGTTCACGAACTTTCCTCGATGTTGTCCCTTGCCGCTGACGTCATCTGCCTGGCAAAATAGAGCACGATAAATGGTGCAATTATCTAACAAATGAGAAATGATAGAACACATCAATTCGTCACAAGCAATGTGCACAACGGAATCTCGGCAGCTACAACAATGTGTGAATTCCAACTCCCCCTTTCGGCGGCCTCACCTCTCGCGCAGACTCTTCCGCTGCCGCTTTCAAACTCGCGACAGCTGTCACTTTTCTGGCGCTAGACATTGCGTAAGTGTCCGAATTCGCTGCACCAGAGTTTTCGGACGTCGTCGCTGAGAAATCACAGTGGAAAATTACGGGGATATTATCCGCAAATTCGACTCAGGGAATAGAATCGAGATCGTCACTGCGGGGTGATTCCTGAAAACGGTCATTCCTGGAGCAGCTGCGGCGCTTGAGTTGAGCGTCCTGACGATCACACAATGACTGATGGAACAACACCATTCTGCTAGTGACCTGTGAGCGACAACCTAGGCATCCTTAGGCATAATAATAGAAGGACGAACAAGACAGTAGGATCTGAATGCCATCCATGGCTGGCTATGTTGGGTTGATTGAGGAGCACAGCGCTAGAGGGCAGGAAGACACAAGATGTTGGATTTCGGACTGAATCAAACGGACTCGTTTTTCGGGGCTTCGCAATTCTGCCGTGATCCTTACTTGAGCTGACTCTCGATATAGACATGGTTCGCTGTGAGCCACACATGATAAGTAATAGAAAGAGACTCAAACGATATATGGGAGCTGAACTGATGGTATGGCTACCAAGTACTGACAGAAAATTAAAACATCTTGCATTAGAGCTATCTAAGCTGCCATTTATTTTAATTGGCAGTTACTACCTTCATCCTACTTGCCCATCTGCTAGCTTCTTTGGTTACCCTTTCATCCACAAATGGCCGAAGCTGCCACATCATCGAGTATGTTGACACGTGTGCAGCTGATGTGGATAGAGAGAGGTCTGCCACTATGGTGAGCTGAATACGACAAGAACAAGCACAGAAAACAAAAAGGATAGAGGAGAAAGAGGGACAGTGAGAAGGGAGCAGGTGGGGGAGGAGACATTGAACAGACTAGAACATGTTCGAGGGGAAAAACAAAAAAATCGAGAGAAACAATCTAAGAACGAACGAGCCCGGGTGGCAAATCTGCACCTTCATTTGAAGGTCCTCCTTGAGCATTTCCAGCACAGCTGCCATCATGGTTACCACATCAGCTTGCACTGTTACACTGCTTCGTGTCCCTGCTATTGCTCCTCCCAAACTGTCCTTGTCATCAGTACCATCACCAGCACCATCATCAGTACCACCATCAGCACCATCATCAGCACTGGCATTAGCAGCATTAGAATTATGAACATCAGCAATATCACCACTAACTGCACCAGCAGCAGCAGCAGCTACACCATCATCACCAGCAGGCTGGGCTGACGCATGCAGATTCTCCTCAAGCAAGCGTGCGGCAGCAGCGTGATAAATATCTTCCATTTCTGACACTGTCTCCTGCATGTGTAAACACATAGCGAGAAGGCACAGTGGGAAGATCAACACATGCATGTGGCGGGTTTCCTCAAGCAAGCGTGCGGCGGCAGAGTGATAAATATCTTCCATTTCTGACACCGTTTCCTGCATGTGTGGGAAGGGAAACACGTATGCACATGCACACATAAACACATGATGTGAAGCAAACGTGAAGCAGCAGCAGTGTGATAAATATCCTCCATTTCTGATACTGTCTCCTGCATGTGTAAACACATAGCGAGAAGACACAGTGGGAAGATCAACACATGCATGTGGAGGGTTTCCTCAAGCAAGTGTGCGGTGGCAGTGTGATAAATATCTTCCATCTCTGACACAGTCTCCTGTATGTGTGGGAAGACAAACAGCACATAAGTACATGCACACATAAACACATGCTCACATAAGCACATGCACACGTGGGGGGTCTCTCATAGTAAGCGTGAGGTGGCAGTGTGACAAATATCGTCCATTTCAAGCACTGTTTCCTGCATAGTCACATGGTTACCTGGTTACATCGTTACATGGTAACCTGTTACAAGCTCACCTGATGCAGTTCCACCAGCTGCTGCAGCAGGTTGGGGGGGGGGGGGGGGGGAGGTGGGCACTGCAAAGCAAGGCTACCTGGTTACATGGTCACCCGTTGCAAGCTCACCTGATGCAGTTCTACCAGCTGCTGCAGCAGTGTGAGGGAGGTATGCACTGCCATTCAGAAGAGAAACGAGAGGCAGAGAGAGGAAGAAGCAAGGGAGAAGTGACTAAGCATCGACTAAAGAGGCAGCAGTTGCTGCAGCAGCGTGAGGGAGGTGTGCACTGCCATTCTGAACAAAAACGAGAGGCAGAGAGAGGAAGGAACAAGGGGGAAGTGACTAAGCATCGACTAAAGAGTCAACAGTTGCTGCAGCAGCGTGAGATAGGTATGCACTGCCATTTTGAAGAGAAAAAAGAGGCAGAGAGGGGAAGAAAGCCAGCAGACATGTATTCAGCCAGCGGCGATGGGAAGCTGATGCTGATGCTGATTGTGATGCTGATGCTGATGCTGATTTTGATGCTGACGCTGATGCTGATGCTATGCTGATGCTGATGCTCATGCTCATGCTCATGCTCATGCTCATGCTCATGCTGATACTGATGCTGATGCTATGCTGATGCTGATGTTACTCCTCGTGCTGCTGTCATTGACGGTGGAACGTACATGTGACAGCTGCTTGCTGGTGATGGTGCTGGTGTTTGTGCTGGTGCTGCTGACAGTGATGGTATACAAGTGGTGGAACGTACATGTGACAGCGGCTTGCTGCTGCTTGGATGGGCGAGTGCAGCCAGCAGCCATGTATTCAGCCAGCGGCAATGGGGATGACGCTGATGGTGATGCTGATGCTGATAGTGATGGTGCTGGTGCTTGTTTTGGTGATGGTGCTGCTGGTGTTTGTGCTGGTGCTGCTGACAGTGATGGTATACAAGTGGTGGAACGTACATGTGACAGCTGCTTGCTGCTGCTTGGATGGGCGAGTGCAGCCAGCAGCCATGTATTCAGCCAGCGGCAATGGGGATGACGCTGATGGTGATGCTGATGCTGATAGTGATGGTGCTGGTGCTTGTTTTGGTGATGGTGCTGCTGGTGTTTGTGCTGGTGCTGCTGACAGTGATGGTATACAAGTGGTGGAACGTACATGTGACAGCTGCTTGCTGCTGCTTGGATGGGCGAGTGCAGCCAGAAGCCATGTATTCAGCCAGAGGCGATGGGGATGATGGTGCAGGTGGTGCTGATGGTGGTCATGATGATGTTACATGCAGCAATGCTACGTACATGTGACGGCGGCTTGTTGCTGCTTGGACGGGCGAGTGCAGCCAGCAGCCATGTATTCAGCCAGAGGCGATGGGGATGAGGATGCTGGTGATGGTGTGGAGATCGCATGCATGGCTGATGGTGATGCTGATGTTGCTTTGGTTGGGTCGGGTACGGCAAACGGCGGCTTGTTCTGGAAGGACGCGAGGATGCCAGATACAAGAGGGGACTGAGAAATGACTTCAGCAGATGAGCGGTAGAACTGCTCTGATACCATGGATGGTGGGGGAAGAAGGAAAAAAAGGGGAGAGGCGGGGAGAGGGGGGGAGGCGGGAGGGATGCGATGATGTTTGACACGAGAGGGGACTCGAACACGGCTTTAGCAGATGAGCGGTAAAACTGCTTTGATACCACGGATGGTGGGGGCGGGGGAGGGGGAGGGGTGGGAGAGGGGGTTGGGGGAGGAGGGAGTGGGAAGAGGTGGGGAGGGGAGGAGGGGGGGAGGGAGGGAGGGATGCGAGGATGTTTGACACGAGAGGGGACTCTGAGATGGCTTCAGAGGGAGGCGGGGGGGGGGACGGGAGGCGGGGGGGAGGGGTGGGAGAGGGGTTTGGGGGAGGAGGGAGGGAGGGATGCGATGATGTTTGACACGAGAGGGTACTCTGAGATGGCTTCAGCGGATGAGTGGTGGTACTGCTCTGATACCATGAGCGATGGCATGAACAGTGTGCCACGACATCATAAACAGCACTGACCCACTGTATCAGAGCAGTACATTTCATCCATCCCATGAACAGTACCAGCTGAGACATGGACAGTGTCCATAAGGAATGAAATGCACCATCTCAAACCACATGTCATACCATACCATACCTACAATATACCATGCCGTACTACATGACATGACATACCATACCATACCATACCATACCATACCATACCATACCATACCATACCATACCATACCATACCATACCATACCATACCATATACCATACCATGCCATACCATGCCATACCATACCATACCATACCATACCATACCATACCATACCATACCATACCATACCATACCATAACATACCATACCATACCATACCATACCATATACCATACCATACCATACCATACCATACCATACCATACCATACCATACCATACCATACCATACCATACCACACGCCATATCATACCACACAACACCATACCATACCGTGTGCTGATTGGAAGGACGAGAGGGCTGCAGTTCCCCCCCTGTGGAAAGCCTCTACTACCTCACACCACATACCACACCACACCTCACCACGCCATACCACACCACACCGCATACCACACCGCATACCACACCATACCACGTAATCCCACACCATGCCATACCGTGTGCTGTTTGGAAGGACGAGAGTGCAGCAGTTCCCCTCCTGTGGAAAGCCTCTGCCACCTCGAAGCTGTTGGCGAGAGGGGAGAGATGAAAGAGGAGAAGCAGAGGAGCGGTGAGAGAGAAGAGAGAGGAGCGATACTATTGGCCACCAGGATGCGGGAAAGG